TGGAGCACAGAGAGACAATCGCTAGGAAAATGAGGATTCCAGTCAAAACCCATGCTTTGAATTTCACTTGGAAGCGTACACTGTGCAGCATTGTGTAGTGTAAGTAAACAGCCACATTCTGCACAAGTCTTTAAGGCTAGTCCCAGGCAGAGCACTCTACAAAATCCTGTCTGTTGGTAACTGTGGGGCGGTCTGCATTCAACAGTGAACGTCACCACTTTTTCCCCAAGCAAAATTTAAAAATTGTGCTCTTGACAACTTCTGCTCCCTCTGAATCCAAGAGCACCTCAGGATGCCAAGCCAGCTGAAAGGTGGACTAATTCAACAGGTAGCCTTCATTGGCAAAGTTCCTATTAGTTCTGGGATTAATTTCAAAAGCTGTCGTACACTTGATCAATAGTACACCACTGCTCCTATGAAGTTTACAAGGTGAGTTTAAGGGTGTGCAAACTCAGCTCCCTCTGCCCTAAAAGATTTACAGTCCTGGCCCTTTAAAATTCTTCCTGTGCTGCCAAGGAATGTCTGGGGAAACCAATCTGTCAATTTTCTGGTTCACAAGCAAAGAATAACTTAGATTGTAACCTCTTTGGAGCAGGGACTGTTTTTTTGTTCTGTGTTTGTACTGTGCCTAGCACAATAGGGACCTAGTCCATGACTAGCGTGGTAATGCTGATAATAGCATTGCTGATTAGAGGAGGAAGTCATGACATTAGCTGTCTGCAGCAATTTGCTCTTTTGAGAGCAGAGGAAGAGAAAGGGAGCTCACAGAAGGTGTCTTTTCAGGAATAGCTGCAAATGCATTAGGAACTGCAAGTGCATTAGTCCTTTTTCGTAAGTCCAGTGCATCTGTCTGCTGCTCCCAAATCCTGGCACAGAATTCTGCCAATTGGTCCCGAATGCTGCTTGCTGCATTTGGCCCCGAGTCATTAATTCTGCCCTATGTTCTCAGTTCCAGCTATGAAATCCTGGCACTAGTCCCCTAATGCTGGCTGCTGGTTGTAATCTTGATTCCTGAATCATTCCTGCTGCTTCTACAGCTAGGTAGAATTCCTAGCTGTAGAAGCAGCTATTCCTGGCTAGTGGTGCTCTTAGAGCCAAATTGCTGTACATTTATAGGCCATGGGAGTTTTGCGGTTGACTTCAACTAGATCATTATTTGATCCCTAGTCCTTAATCTTGCATTGCTTCTGGTTCTGTGTCCTTCACCCTAGCAGTGTTCACTTGATCTTTATCTCCAAATGTTGCTTTTGAGCCTGTGCATTTAGTTTGGGAGGTTGCACCGCACATAGGGCTTTATCCTTGAATGTTAGTAATGTGCAGTGTATTTGTGGACCCGGATGTGCGCGTGCTTTGCGAAGGTCACACAAAGTTTCCATGTCCCTCTCTGGACCACCTAACAGATAATGCTTTTAGCTGAGCAATGGCACAATACTTTGACTGTTCTGTGTGCGCCTGGGTATGCACAACACGTCCACGCTGGCCCCAAACAAAAGAACAGCAACATTTCTTCCATTTTTTTCTCTGCTTCAGAAGTGATTCATCAGTCTCTCAGCGTGCCCCTTACATCTGAGGTTGCTTGCCCATTTTAATAGTAGCTCTGCAGCACTTGCTAACTGTATGGAATGAAACTTCAAAACAAAATAGCGCTGTAAATACCATTAGAAACAATGCATCTGCTGTGAAAAGAAGAGAAATGTTGTCATTATGCAGTTTATTTATGGTTAGCTAATTTAAATGATTTTCAGAGCATTTACTTAAGATGCCTGCTTTCATTTCCCCACAGTTATATTTTAGTGTTTTCATAATGCTGTCTTTTAGAAAGCTACAATGTGTTTGAATTGAATAGTAAGGTCTAATTGAAGAGAAAATAAACTTTCATTTTACTATTGTGTATGGCAACAACGGAACAGCTTGTTTATTAGTGTCTAGTGCAAGTGCAATAGAGCCAGCCAGTATCTTGAGTAGAAAAGTGGTGTGTTAATTGCATAATATTTGATTGCATTAAACATATAAAAGCAAAAGTTTCAATTATGTATCCTTTTTATAAGTACAAAAGTCACCTTTGTGCATGCATATCAGTTTTGGTATGATCTTTAATGTTGCCAAACAATCTAAAATTATCCTGGCCTAAAAACATTTTTAATGAAGTCACCCAGGTCCCTGGATTTCAGATTATACTAATGTTTGTTTTTATAATATACATTTTTGCTTGGTTTGGGGTTTTTTGAACATTATTACAAAAGTTAAAAGGGTAACTTCCAGTAATGTCAACCCCAGGTATTCAAAAGCCATACATAAGTCAGACCCCCCAGAAATCATAAGTTTGGCTGAAAAAATGAGTTTTTCAAACTCAAAAAAATGTTGAGTTCTTTTTATTTACCTTCTGTTTTATTTTTAAGCACTTAAGGCTCAGAATTTTCAAGCTTTTCCCCTCCCCCAACCATAAGGGCTAGAAACGTATTTACTTGTTAAATGAAAGTTGAGATTCTCACATGATCACTTGTCTCCAGGAGTTGGAGCTTCTAAGAAAAACACCAACTATTGCGAGACTGTCAGAAAAACCCTTGAAAGTTGGCAACTCCAATTTCAACGATACTTTACCTGGGGGACTGAAGATATAGGATCAGAGTGTCCCTGGCCATAGTGCTGTTGCTTCTTCCTCCAGACACCACAGATAAGGGCTAGAGACAATCACAGTCTCTATGCTCCTTGTGTTTTCCTATGGATGCACAAATTTCCCCAAAGTGGGGTATGGGCCTGCTCCCCTTCACACCTGCCTGCCTACTGAATTGGTCAGGTGCACTGGGGCAAGTAGGGTGACCAGACAGAAAATGTGAAAAATCGGGACGGGGGTGAGGGGTAATAGGAGCCTATATAAAAAAAAGACCCCAAAATCGGGACTGTCCCTATAAAATTGGGACATCTGGTCACCCTAGGGGCAAGCAGCTTGCATGATTTAAGCACAATGCCTCCTTCAGCTCCATTAGATTGATGCAGGTTCACACTATCTCCTACATACAGCTGTGGTTCAATGCTGTTATCTTGTCCATAATAGGGGTCCAATTAAAAAAAAGAGAGGCTGGAGTCTTGTGTATCTACTGGAAGGTTTTGTATGGAAAAGATTATTAAGTTTTCTATACACAACAGCCAACATTACTTTACAGATTAGATTACTTTTATTTTAGATTAAGGAAAATAACAACAAAGTGTGGACTAGATCATGGGATATTCTGGATGCCCTCAACTTCTACTGATTTCAATGGGAATTGAGGGTGCTCAGTATATTGCAGGAACAGGCTCATGTGGCTGAATGCTGCCATCAGATACATAGATGTAGCTTCCTGTGTCCTCGGTGGAGCTGTGCTTGATTATACTGGTGCTGAACTTGGCCTCTTAATTTTAAGAACAAGGCCATGAATTCTGCCAGGCATACTTGCCAGCTAGGTTCTTGGGACCTAGCACATTCTGCTTACCATTCTTCCTGTCCTCCCTTGCCTCAACAATGTCAGATTCTAATGAGCACATTGGAGTTCATAATATACGTATCTTGTCTCCTGTTATAAGTGAATGGTAGAGCATTTTGTTCCAGAATTGGGTAGTGTGTTTCTGAATCCGTTCTTTGTGTGTGTTGCAATCATTTGAACACTTTGATGTGCCATGTTAATCAAAAGTGAGAAAGTATTTATATCAAAGTGAAATTCGATGATGATGATGAAAAATGTCAGTCATAAGTAGGTTAAGGAGACTTTGTAAGAATGAGATAACACCTTTGAATACAATGTACAGTAATATACAGCAGTTTCTTACATCAAATCCATTAATTCCTTCAATCAAAGAAACCACCATTTGGAAGGAATGATACTGGGAAGGAATTTGTTATAACTACAGTGCAACAAGCATTAAGATCCTAGTGTAAATGTCAAAATGGACAAATTTCCTTTACAGTAACTCCTCACTTAAAGTCGTCCCGGTTAACGTTGTTTCGTTGTTATGTTGCTGATCAATTAGGGAACATGCTCGTTTAAAGTTGTGCAATGCTCCCTTCCAACGTCATTTGGCAGCTGCCTGCTTTGTCTGCTGCTTGCAGGAAGAGCAGCCTGTTGCAGCTAGCTGGTGGGGGCTTCGAACCAGGGTGGACCAGCAGCCCCCTATCAGCTCCCCACTCCCCTAAGTTCCCTGTGCAGCAGCTGCCTGCAGTGCAGCTGTCCCCCTGCTCCTGCACCCCGCTTACCCCATCTTCCATAGAGCAGGGGGGACACACCAGGGCTCAGGACTGAGGGAGCTTGCAGCAGCTGCGGTCTCAGCAAGCTGATCTAATTAACAAGGCAGTGTACTTAAAGGAGAAATGCGCATATCTCTCTCTCACACATACTGTGTGTGTCTCTGTCTGCGATATCTCCCCTCCCTCCATTTCTGCTGCCTTGTAGAGTGTGAGAGTTAACCCTTGAGGGCTCAGCCAATTGCTAGTTCATCATTTAGCAGTAAGGGAAATATCCCACCCTCTGACTCCTCCACCTCAACCAAGCTTCACAATCATCATCACTGTGTACCAGTATTAAATTGTTTGTTTAAAACTTATACTATGTGTGTGTGTGTGTATGTATGTATATATATATATATAATATAGTCTTTTGTCTGGTGAAAAAAATTTCCCTGGAACCTAACCCCTTCATTTACATTAATTCTTATGGGGAAATTGGATTCGCTTAACATCATTTCGCTTAAAGTCGAATTTTTCAGGAACATAACTACAATGTTAAGTGAGGAGTTACTGTACTCATATTTAGACTTGGCTTGAAAAGTGGTTCCACAAATGAAATTTCTACAGCTTTGGCTAAACCATAGATGCTTGGCAATTGCAAAATTAAAATAGACACAATAATGTACTGTACATTTTATTCAACAATGGCAATCAACTTAGCTGCAGTTCCTCAGCACTAGTTAAAATGTGTGACCGGTCCAAAGGTAATAAATAGTTTCAAATTATCTTCTATCTTTAGAGAAAAAGGACCAAATTTATCGCCTGTGATTTTCTGACTGAGTGGTTATACAAGTAAGTTAATTCTGTTTCTAAATATTAACTTTGTCCAATGATTCAGCAACATAACAACAATTGAGATGAATGTTGTTGTTTTCTTGTTAACTGTATTTTAAAAAATATATATGGTATAATTATCAGCCAGAATCCAAAGAAGAAAGATGAGCCATTCACAGAATTCTTCTCCATCCCTTTTGTGAAGGACTGGCTAAAGGACCAGTAAGTATTATGCAATATTCAAATAGTATTTTTTTTTTTCTCATCTCCTCCCACCCCCAAATAACAGAGCTTAAATGTGTTAAAATTGTCCCCTTTGGAGTGTCCTTCACTATTCTTGCATAACAAAGGGTCTTTGTGGAGCTTATTAATTTGGTAGTTATAAGATATTTTGTGCCAGGATCATTTGCACAGAAAGTGTTGTGGGAATGCTAAACATTTCATTATTCTGAAGTGCAGGGAATTTCAAATTGCCTGATGGTATTATTAAAATCCTTATACTAATGAACAAATAACCCTGGTTTTAAATACTGCTTGCTAATGCGATGATTAGGAACCTCTTTGAAGTTTAGAAATTTGTTCCACCAGACTGTGACCAGCTTGTTTAAAAATCCCTGTAGTAATACTTGGCAGGGAGATGCATTTCTTCTGCATATTATTCATGATTTTGTATCTAAGGGCTGGTCTACACTGGGGGGGGGGATCGATCTAAGATACGCAACTTCAGCTACGCTATTAGCGTAGCTGAAGTCTAAGTATCTTGGATCGAATTACCTGGGGTCCACACGGTGCGGGATCGACGGCCGCGGCTCCCCCGTCGACTGCGCTACCGCCGCTCGCTCTGGTGGAGTTCCGGAGTCGACGGTGAGCGTGTTTGGGGATCGATATATCGCGTCTTAACGAGACGCGATATATCGATCCCGGATAAATCGATTGCTACCCGCCGATACGGCGGATAGTGAAGACGTACCCTAAGAGATGACACTTTCTGTTTCTAGAGTAAAGTGTGAATTGTCTCCCTCTACAGCTTTCCCCATTACTCCTCCAATACAGGGCTGTGTCATAGTTTTGGAGGAATCTTTTTCTTCTTGGTTGCATGACTTGTCCAGCAATGGAGCTGTTGCTTGACAAGAGAATAGGAGGGGAAATAACAGCCCACAATGAAGGAGTAATGAAATTCTATGGGCCATATTTTCAAGAGAATTCTCATTTAAGCACCTTTAATGATGTGGCCAGATTTGTTACCAGTGGAAGCTTTTGGGTGCTGAGGACTTTTGAAAATCTGTCCATTTCATTAAGATGCCAAAATGGGAGCTGAGCTTTCTTGAAAATCTTGCTATAGGGTTCCACTTGGAAAAATCTAAAACTCGGAGTCGCTGCCTCAGAGAGAGAATAGCTTCTTGACATTCATAGGCCTTTGAAGAGAGCAGGGTAAATGAGAAGTGGATCCTCAAACCTGGTCTATACTACACAGTTAGATTGATGTAAGGCAACTTCCGTCGACCTAATTATGTCAGTGTACACGCTACAGCCTTGTCCCACCCATGTAAGTGCTGTACTACACCGACATCATAACTCCACCTCCACGAGAGGCGCAGGGCTTATGGCGGTGTAGTTAGGATGATGCAGTGTCTGTGTAGACACTGTGTTACTTACATCACAGCCCGGCTGCCGCCATCTCTCCCCCACACACACACTCAGGCGGACTGTGCCTGCCTGATTCTCCACGCCCAGCCCAGCTGTGCCTGCCCAATTCCCCGCTACCCATTCAGGGAGTCGAGAAGCACGGGCAGCTGCTCCCCACTCCCAGAGTGGAGGCAAGAAGCTCAGGCAGCTGTCCCGTCCCCCCCACTCCCGGCGGGGAACAGGGAGGTGAGAAGCCCAGATGGCTACCCCCTGCTTCCCATTGGGAGCAAGGAGCCGAGAGCCCGGGGGGCGGCTGGGCTACCGGTGGGGAGCCACACAGAGCTGTGAACCCTGGCTCTCAGCCCCCCACACTGCCCTTCTTCAATCAGTAGAAGTGCTCCCGTTGAGGATGTGCACCACCGGCAGAAGGAGGGCAGTAGCTGTAAGTCGACCTAACATAGGTCAACTTAAGTCTGTAGTGTAGACATGCCCTCAGACACCTAATACAGAAATAACAAGTTTCCTCACACTTCCCTGCCAATGTGGCTCAAGTCTACCTTGGATGGACAACTTCTAGGGACTAATACATTTCATTCTCCATGCCCATTAGCTGCTTAATATCTCAACCAACAAGATTGCCAATTAAAGTGGCAATTTTTGTGATTTGGATGCTTGCTTTAAACTGGAGTGAGACCATCATACTAATTTCATAGATAGTATCATTCCGGATAGTATAATATTTCTGTTATTACTGACCTAGGAGTTGGAATTTTTGAAGGTGACTAAGGTCTGGTCTACACTATAGAGTTAGGTCGACTCAAGGCAGCTTACATTGACCTAACTCTTTAAACGTCTACACTAAAATGTTGCTCCCACCAGTGAAACTCGTCCGCTATGGTGACTTAATAACTCCATCTCCGCGAGAGGCGTAGTGCTTAGGTTAACGTAGTTAGGTCAACGCAGTGTCAGTATAGATACTGTTTTACTTATGTCGATTTTAGTGGCCTCCAGGAGGTGCCCCATAGTGCCCCAACCTGCCCGCTCTGGTCACCATTTTGAACTCTGCTGCCTGGAGGGCAGGTACACGGATACACACATCTCCCCTTTAAGAGCCTCGCGAATTTTTGAAATTCCATTTCCTGTTTGCTTGGTGTGGAGAGCTCACCTAGCAACTACCCAGCTGACCATGCTGGCTCCATGCTGCCTGGAGTACACAGGAGGTGGTGGATCACCTGGGTCTGTGGGGAGAAGAGGCTGTGCAGGCACAGCTCCAATCCAACCATAGAAACATCATTGTCTATGAGCAGATTGCTCAGGGCATGGGGAAGAAGGGCTACAAGATGGACCGCAGCAGTGCTGCATGAAAGCCAATGTTCTGCCACAAGCATATCAAAAGGCAAGGGAGGCTAACAGTCGCTCTGGTGCAGAGTCCAGACATGCCGCTTTTATAAAGAGCTACATGCCACCCTCTACCCCACTACCACTGCCAAGAGCCCCGTGGATACCTCATAGAATCATAGAACTGGAAGGACCTCGAGAGGTCATCTAGTCGAGTCCCCTGCACTCATGGCAAGACTAAGTATTATCTAGACCAGGGGTGGGCAAACGTTTTGGCCCGAGGGCCACATCAGGGTTCCGAAACTATATGGAGGGCCGGGTAGGGAAGGCTGTGCCTCTTATCCGCCCCCTCCCACTTCCCGCCCCCTGACTGCCCCCCTCAGAACCTCCGACCCATCCAAACCCCCCTGTTCCTTGTCCCCTGACTGCACCCTCCTGGGACCCACTGCCCCTAACTGCCCCCTGGGACCGCACCCCCATCCAACCCCCACCCACTCCCTGTCCCCTGACTGTCCCGACCCCTATCCACACCCCCGCCCCCTGACA